AAAAAATGCCTGACCACTCAATCTACTGCAGCACAACCAACACAACATATAGAAAAGATAATACTATCATGCATCAAAAGCTTCTTGTAAATAACAGATTACAACCACACAACATCACCATAGCACCCAACTATTGTACACTGCCCAAAGCCCCATTCTGAGGTGAATGGGCTGGTTGGCCCCCATGAGAGCCCTCCCCCAACCTGTATTAACAACTGCTAACCTCCCACCTTGGAACATCTATATTTTTGAAAATTTATGTTATTTTATAATTTTAAAAAAAATATCTTAAATTATTCTTTTTCTAATGCTTTATTTTATTTTATTATATTGTACACCTTCCAGAGCCCCTGTCTGAGGGAGATGGGTAGTTAAGAAATATGAAATATAAATAAAGTAAAAAAGAAGCAGACTACACATCCTCTCCAGCAGCCAGATAAGAAGAGATGAATACCAGACAAACCTCTTATCTATCTGAAAACACTAGTATAATCAAGAAACTATTAAGGAAAAAAATCACACCCAACCAAAATTGGCAGGGCAAATTACTGTAAACAAACAGGGAATACATCCTGTTCTCACCTACATGATGGTATTACCTAGTTGGGTAATGAAATGTCTGCAAATAAGCAAACAAGCTCAGAGAATACCAAGAACTCCATGGCACAGAAAGGTGCTACCAAATAATTTAATTATGTGAACTTTTTAAAATTTGTGCCTAATTTTTTATTATTTCTTTTTTAAAAAGCCTTAGTGTTCCAAATGACAGTGATGAAATATAGAAAGATTTGAGCAATTTCATTGAATTTCAATCTTTCAGTGACTCCCAAGCTTATGACTAGAATGGAATATTCATACATAAGAACATTCCAGTTTCTCTCAACTTCATGCCCTGTTTATGTTGATGATTCCTGAATTTGCTAGTACCTTGAGGAATTGATGTTTTCGGTTCATTACTTCCAAAACTCCAAAACCAAATTCATATTTTCTCCCTCCTTGGGTGGATTGTACGCCACTGATTTATGGAAGCACAAGCTATTTATTATGGAAGATAGCTTTCTTCCAGAGGGACTATAATAATCCATTAGGTTTCTCTGTGCCAAACCTAAAACTTCGTAGAGGAAAAAGTTCACTTTCCTCAAAAGGTGACTTCTAAGTATGCTGTAAGAAGCAGCTTGGTGTAGTGATTAGGACATCAGGCCAGAACCTGGAGATCATGAGTTTAACTTGCCTTAAGCACAAAGCAAGCTGGGTGTCCTTGGGCCACTCACTCTCTCTCAGCTCCTAGGCAATAGACAATGGCAAACCACTTCTGAAAAACCTTGACCAAAACTGCAGTTGCCAGGAGTCAACAATTGACTCAAAGAGACAAAAAAAAAAATGTTGGGACTACAATTGGAGGAGTATGTCCTGCTTTTCAATAAAGCTATTGCTGATAAGTTTGCTCTGCTTCATCTGGTAAAGAAAATTATTTTTTAACAAAACTGGAATTTCTTAGAAAAAGGGAACAATAACTTGGCCTCTTTGTATGATTTCTCAGGTAAGTCCCAAGATCTATCAACGACAAGCTTCCTCTTGCTTCTAATGTTGTTTCATCTCCCAACTAGGTCCTTTACATTTGATTTCTCTTAGGCTCCTTGCATTCAGAACATTATTCAATATATTAATTAAAATATTTGAGCTTGGTCATAATGTTAATTACTCTAGGGACTTTGGACTAAAGCTATATAATGTCTTCTACATCAGATGTAAATGGTGTAGCAGATGTCCCTGTAATGTTTAATAAGCACATATATTACGTTATATTTATGGCTCAATCAGTTTTATTTGTGTTATTTTAAATTTCTTCCTTTGTCCTATTTATATAATATTAAGGAATGTAATTTAAGTTTTAGATACAGGTAGTCCTCGACCTATTATCACAATTGAGCACAAAATTTCTGTTGTTAAGTGAGACATTTGTTAAGTGAGTTTTACCCCATCTTGTGACCTTTCTTGGCACAGTTGTTAAGTGAATCACTGCAGTTGATAAGTTAGTAACCTGGTTGTTAAGTGAATCTGGC